TTTCAAAACCAATAAAAGAATATTAAAGTAGTTGAAAATATATATATATATATATATATATATATATTTAGAAGGGAATAGTGTGATATTTAGTTTCATAAATATTACATTTTAAATTATACTCAAGATGCTTCCCAACAAGTGTGGATAAACAGTTTGTAAAGCTGATTAGAATTTACAGTATTAATCTTATTTAATTCATGTTATGGGAGAAAAACTTTGAAGCATAAACATTGAAACAAATAATGATTTATATACTTACTAAAATCGCAAAGCACCATAGAACAAATTTAAAGAATAAAATTTTATCCCGCCATTTTAACTGAGATTGAACTAAAAAATTCACTGCATCCTTTCCATTATAGCGATAATGCTTTATTGCATTGCAACTTTTTTTTTTACTATCATAAAAACGCTGCAGTGTATTTATGCTAGAGAACAGCTTGTTTTCATTATCGTGCGAAATATTTTATTTATTTCATTATTATTCGTTATTACAAAACTGGATTGACTTAAAACCTTAATTCTTCTAAAGACTTTGGTGAAATTATCATTCTATCTGATATCTATATTTTATACAAAGCCAAATCGAGCAGGAATAAATAGAGAATTGATTATTGAGAAAAACTATTTAGATACCTCCCCCCCCCCATATTCTTTTAAAAAAATTGAGAAAGCTACCAACCTCAAAACACTAAACTATTATCCAAAAGATCATACAAGTTGCTTTGTATTAAAAAACTAGCAATCTAACTAAATAGTTATATTTGCTTTCAACTTTTGCCCAGCATCCAGTGTTCATTTGCTTTGTGTTCAGTGTAACGAGAATTTCATCCGCTATAATGATTGTCGCTATTCTGTAAAAAACTCAATTACTCAAATTACGGTAAAAAGTACACGCCCTCAAAGGGGGAAATGTACTTTTTACCGTAAAATCTTATTTTACCGAAAGTTACGGAACAGAAATCTGATATACTGCAATTTTTACTGCATTAGTTACCTTGAAATCACTGAATCACGCTGATTAAATGAATATTACTGTAAAAATTACGAGATAATATTTTACTGTTAAAATTACGAGATAATATTTTACTGTAAAAATTACGAGATAATATTTTACTGTAAAAATGAAGGATTAATCACTTAAAGTGCCGGTACTTTATACCATAGTCTGATTCTGAATTTTTTACCCTGTATACCGGATTTTTTCAGTATTTTATAAATTTTTAATAAATATCAACAGTATGGAACTTTTTGCTTAATAAATATATGTATACAATCTTACAAAAATCAGTTGAACTTTGAAGCATAATAACATTTTAAAAATTACTGCTACAACAAGACATTAAATTGAAACATGATTTCGCTTAAATCAAATAATATCGCATAATATTGTTTAATATGGAATTTAGAGAAATATATGATTCAGTTTTACACCATGATAAGCTCACAGAAAATTTGCTTGTTGTCACAGCTAAAATGCTAATGATATATCAAAATATTAAGACGCTGGTTAGTAATAACATTAATATTTTCCTTGAGGACATGATTTCCTTTTAAGCTTACATAAAATTATGATCATATCAACAATAATTTATTACGCTTAATTTCAGTTTCCTTAATTATTTTTTGATAGTTATAAAACTTTCCCGGTTTTCTAATTTAATTAAATCTATACTTTCAAATATTCAAAAAAAAACTAAAAAAAATGACTTACCTTTAAATTAATGCTTCAATTAAAAAGTAAATCCTTCAGCAAGTTTCGTAAAATACTTAGCAAATAATTAAGAAGTATATAAATAAACTGCATTGTTTTTCTTTTTTGTTCTAGTCATTTTGCTTTGAAAAACACCTCCTTTTATTAATATAATGCTGACACTTATTTTTTTAGGAATTCTCAGAAAATGGCACACATTAGAGGTCTTATTTATGGATTTGCCCAAGGAACAAATATATTTTCTTATGCTGCAGTTTTGTACTATGGATCAGTACTAGTAGCTGATAAAGAGATCAAGTATGAAAATTTATTAAAGTGAGATATTTTTGAAAAGATCCCCAAAATTATTTTCATTAATAATTTTGAGTACATAAAATTTATAACTTTAAGGACTTTCTTCCCATGATTTGACTGACAGACTTAGAAATATTAAGCGCATAAGAAATTAAGACGAAAATTTTCAAAATTGGAGACATATCGTGATAGGAAAATAAAGAGGTTTAACATAATAACCAGAATTACACAGCACTTAGAATTTTTGATTAAAGGAAAATTGAAATTGAAATGCTTATTCATTAAAAAATGAAATATTTTCCAATATCACAAACTTTTACTTCTGCGCAAACAAAAAATGTATATCAAATTTTCATGCATAAAACATATTAGCTTCTTATAAATAAATTATTAAATTGATATTTGAGAGAGCATAATGAAATTAAATTTCTTACTTCGAAAGTCAGAATATTGCGTATAATTGAATAATTTTTAAGAAAATTTAATTGTTGTAACTGTTGTAACTAAAAACTTTATAATTAGAAAACTGATAAAAATAGATAGGAAGCTTTCCCTAAATAAATGAATTGTACATGCCTCTTATTAAACTACTTATTCATTCCTAAACGTTCGTTAAACATGAATTTAAAAATAATGTATACAAAATAAGCTAAAAAAAATTGCAGATAAATGTTGCTGAACGAAATTATCAAACAATAATGCATTTCGCTAGTCTGAGTTCGCGAAATAAATTCAAAAGAATCTCAAAATGAATCTGAGGATAGGAGTTAGAAATGCAGTGAGACCTGTGTAAGTGTGGGGCATCAACATGATGATCTATTTCTACAAGTGGTGCACTTATGAAAGCGAGATTTGGCTATTTTTGCCACTTTTGTATTCTATCCATACAATCAACTTACACAAATGATAAACAGAAGTTATGATCATAATCTGGGAACAAAATAAATAAGAAGTTATTAAAAAACTGGGAAACCCTGGAAAACTTCTGATCTAATGAATCTTAACGTTCTATGGAACTAGGGGGTGACCTCAATTATTCTAATTAATTACTGCGGACGATATTTTAAGTTGTAAAATAGGACACAAATACGTACTTTCTCTAAACAAACATACGTGTGTTTTTTTTTTTTCTTGTGGCGAATTTGGATTTTTACCCCAAACATATAGGGGGTAGCCGCAATTTGGGAAATACGGTTCCCAAATAGTTCGATCAGGAGAGTGATCCAAAGTTTGTACGCCTTTATGGTAATTTTACTTCAACATATTTTGTCATATCTCGAGAACGTTTTAAGCGAATTTAAAAAATTTTGTATACTATAATAAAATTCGTTAATCCAAAGATGACTGCTTGCAAAAAAATAACTTTTAGTGAATATTTATTATATTCTGTAACATTTNATACTTGTACTTTTTCCCTAAAAAAGTAACGAAAGTACAAGTAAAAGTACTAAATTTAAAAAGTAACGAAGTACAAGTAAAAGTACGTACTTTTTACTTGTTCCGGCGGTACAAGTAACGAAAGTAAAAGTACTGCCATATATGGTTGGTACTATAATATTTCTTCCATTATTTAAATACACGAAGAGTTTTCAGGTTCTTAATACGCGAGTTTCTTAACGTTCCTTGAAAATATAAACTGCTTAAGATACTTGTATGATTTAACAAAGCATATATGTTTGTTACCTTGGAATTTTTCTGGTAAAATATTTGGGACTATTTTGTGGTGAATATGGCGAAAATTGAAACAAGTACAAAAATTTAAAAAAATATTATAGCACAAATGAGTTACATAATACCTACTCTTGAGATTAATATACTTATAACATTATTGATCACGTTATGCTCATTTATATATTTTTAATAGTAAATTATATTTAAAATTACATTCAAATTGTTATTTGATAAAGTGACAGTCAAGCTGATATTTTATTATAAGGTATTTAAAGCTTCTTAACTGTAACATGGTATTACATTTTTCTAGTTTACAATCTGGTATTTAGAAATGTTCATCATAATATGATGTTTAAAATACTTGAATAAACTATAATATTTATACATATAAAATTGGGAGGATTTACAGAATTTTTATCTCACCTGTTTTTCTATAAAATTATAAAAAATAATACTACAATAAGGAAGAAATAAGGTCAAAATGACCAGAATAGAGTAAAAATTTATCGCATTTCTGGCTCTATGGGAGCACCAAAAAGCTCAATAATATTTACCAAATCACCAGCAATGCATAAAATTATTTATTGGGTTAAATTTATTTTTCAGTTATGTATTTCTTTACAAATTTGTGATTATAAGAACAATAATTTTGAAAACCAGAACTTTCGGTAAATCATATGAACGGAAAAAATACCAAACGATAGGCATAAATACCATAAATTATGGTTTTATTGCTAGAAACTATTGCTATGTTATTTTTTACTACAAATGTCATTACTATACAGTACGGTAATTTGACCAGCATTTTTTCTCTATGTATAAACAATTCGGAATCAGTATTAACGAAATTCTAACACCGCTGAATTTTACTTGCGTCCCATCAAAAGTAGAGTGACTAAATGAATTAATATTTTCGCAACACTGTAAACAGATAATAATGTTAATTTACATTTTAATTCAGATGCTTGACGAAGAAAACGTTTCAGATTTGCAAGTGGCTAACCTCCGATCTCACATCGGTCTTGTATCACAAGAACCTGTCTTATTCAGTTACAGTCTAGCTGAAAACATTGCATACGGAGACAATTCTAGAACAGTTAAAATGCAAGAAATTATCGAAGCAGCACGTCAAGCCAATATACATACCTTCATTTCTTCATTACCTCAGGTAAAAATAGTTTTTTTTTTTTCATTTTTAAATCACTAATGTCTTATGAAGCAATTGGATTCAAAAATAAATTGGAAAAATGTTTAAACTTATTTTAACAATTAAAGACCCATTCATAGATTGTGTTTAGCGTTCAAATAAAATATTTTAAAAACGCTTTTGTAACAGCAAACAGTGAAAAATAGGTTTTTAAATCTTGCATACAAGCTATTTAATGTAAAAGAGCTGAAAATACAACTGAATAATTAAAGCAAGAGCAGCAGTAATTGATGAAGAAAACACCATGTCATTGGGCAAATTTGTTCAAAAGTTATTGCAGAAAGTTTTTTTGAACAATGATTTTTTTCCCTCCATATTGTGCTGAAACTGCGGATTGCAAGGAATGATCGTTTTCTCATTATCTTTCTTCATAAATTACTTTTTTTTTGTAAATATGTTGCAAACTTATTATTCATAAATATGTTTCTTAAAATACGCTATTATTATAACTTGATTAGTGTATTATTTTGACTAAGTATATTCTAACAATGGTTCAATAATAGTGCATTTAAAAACACATATAATTTGATTTCATACACAAATATAATTAACTTATTAAGTGAAATTAACAAATAAAAATGCTAATCAAATATTAAAATGTACATAAAAATATTTTTAAAGGGGTACGACACACCAGTTGGTGACAAAGGCACTCAATTAAGTGGCGGCCAGAAGCAGAGAGTGGCTATTGCTCGAGCTCTCTTAAGAAATCCCAAAATATTACTTCTTGATGAAGCAACCTCTGCTCTCGATGCAGAAAGTGAAAAGGTATGTTAAAACTATCATTAAACCAAAATGACGTAATTTGTATTTTTGTAATAGCAGTTTTGCTTTTTTTATCATCATGTTTTTTTTTCATTTTGTTTTTCTTATGGATTCAGTGTTCTATCCACTGTAGTAAAATATCCCTCAGATTTTCCATGAGGCACAGGTCAGAGGATTTGACTGACCATTCTATGTGTAATGGGGTGTACAACTGCTCCAATCCAGTAATAATTTTTTTTTGCTAGATAAACTTTGCTGTTGTCACCTTAAAATATATGAATATCAATACTGTACTCTTCAAGAGGATGTTGACTGAAAGATACACAGAAAGGTCACGTGATTCTTCAGAGAGTTCTAGTCCCAGCATTGACAATACAATCTATCCTCTTGATAAATCCAATTACAACCTAACTCCAATGACCATTACCTAACAATAAGCCTAGCTCCAATGTCCAGTTAAATTTATTTTTTGTTGTTTTGAAAAAATGCCTGATTGCAAATGGTTAAAAAACTGAATAGTTTTATATTCAAGGTTTTTTAACTATTTTAGTTGTAAACAATTTCAAAACCATAAAGGTGAAAAATGTTCCTTACTGTTAATTAAAGGGAAAGACTGCTGTCGGCTATTTTAACATAATTTTAGGATGAAAATTCTAACAGTGAACGACCTGTTCAACATCCAAAATGGTTAAAAACATACTCGTGATCTTAGTGGTCCTCATAGTGAGCCAACCTTATCCATAATCAAACATTCACCCACAAAACAGAGCAGATTCACTATCGGCTTCATGTGTATGTCTCTAGGGGTGACGTAGTTTTTGTGTGGTGAGATTAATTTTGAGAAATTCTAAACAAAAGATTTAATTGCTGCAAATTTAAAAATTTCTTAACTTGTTTAGAACTGTTTTTTCGAAGAAAAGTTTATAACAAAGATTAAAAAATTGTATTTCAATAAAAATAGAAAAATGTTCGAAATATATATACGAAATATATGCTAAATTTCAAATACATACCAAGTATTCTCACGCAAGACTTAAGTTATTCTCTGGACTGGAGTTTAATATCGTCTAATGGGATTCTATTAATAAACTGAATAATGATAGAATTCTATTAGTTGTTATTAATATTCAATATTATTATACTAATATCTGATATTAATTGTTATATTATTATATTAATATCTGATATTAATTGTTATATTATTATGTTAATATCCAATATTATGATATTAATATCTGGTACTAATTGTTATATTGTTATATTAATATCTAATATTATGATATTAATATCTGATATAATCTGATATATTTATATTGATATCTAATATCTAATAAATATCTAGTTTTTCCCACTTGATTATGAGAAAAAAAATAACTATGAGAACTTGGTTTATGAGAAAGAGTTTTTGCAAAATTACCATGACATATTCCGTTTTTTTTTGAAATTATGATCGTTGTATAAAAAATTACTAATGTTGCAGACCAACTCCAAATTTATTTATAATTTATTAATTTATTTCTCAAATTTTTGTTCATTAAAAAGTAATCCAAAAACGAAATTGGAAAAAAAAGATCAGTTAACAGAAAAAGACACGTAGCCATGTTTCTTAAAAACCATAAAATATCCTTCATACAAGAAATAAAGAAAAACAAAGCCTTAAAAAGTGCCTCAAAGTTTTAGTTCATATAAACAGTATTAAATCATGAAAAGTGAACATATATACATACTAACATATGTACTAACTCAAAGTGGCATATGCAAAACTGATTCAATTAAAAATATTGTAATTATTATTCTCAACGGAATATTTTTATATAGGTTGTCCAAGAAGCGTTAGATAAAGCAAGTGATGGATGAACGTGCCTCATCATAGCTCATAGGCTTTCTACAATTCAAAATGCTGACACCATAGTCGTCATTCATAAAGGTAACATTGTTGATAAAGGCACCCACCAAGAACTTTTGAATTTAAAAGGACATTATTACAATCTTCACAATTCACAGAGCGGTGCCCAGTAACCGAATGTTAGTCATACACTGATTTTTAACATCCTACATCTTACATTGTTGATTAAGTATTGTTAATAGATCCATTTGTCTTAAAACTACTTATGAAATATTTAAATAATAATTTTATGTTAGTATTGTATTGAAAATCAACCTGTTATTTGCAATTCCTGTTTTCATAGAAAATAATTGCATGAAATTTCCACAAAGTAAATTGAATTGATGCTTTTTGGCAGGATGAAGATGATTAGTAAGACAAAAAGGTATCAGATGATACATGTTTTACAATTAATATCCATGAGCAAAATTTGTTGCTTATATTTCACAGATATCCATTCTACACTGTGAAAAATTCTGGAACAAATGACGCGGTAAAGTACCTGAACTATGGATGCATCATCCGTAAAATAAATTTTTACGGTATTCTTTAGAGTAATATTAACTTAACTAGAGTGTTTCAGTGATTTTACGGTAATTATTACTATAAAAATTATGGTGTATAAGATTTTTTTTTCAGTAACATGTTCCGATAAAAACAGATGAGTGCTGGTTTTACCTCGCGTAATTTGATCAAGAATTTTTACAGTGTATAATGATTTTTTTTCTACATAATTACAGTATTTAAATAGTGTGCAAACATGTAGTTTTGATGTAAATAATATATATTTATGTTTTTTAATTAATTTGAAGATATTCCTTGTTCTGAAGTATAAAGTGCTTTAAAGAGAAAAAAAATCACGTTACAAATATTTGTAATTCATACCCAATAGGTTGAAAAACATGGAATTTGCCAAAATTTCAATATCCTTTCATGATTTTTTTCTCTGGGAAATGCATTTATATAGTTGGGGAAGCAGCTATGCACATTATTAAAGTAAATAAAATAGGTGATATATTTAATTTCTTTTAAAATAAAAAGCCTTCTTCAATCTCAGGTAGAAATTACGAAGTGCTTTTGAGTTGAAAAGAGGAGTCGAGGAAAAAAAATTCATAGAAATATTACAATGTTACACGCATCTCATAACATAACTCATTCATTATTTAAAAAAAGTAAAAATTTTTTAAATATTTAATGGATATTCAATTTATATTAACTTTTTCACTGAGAATTGTATATATGTATGGGCTAGTGAAAACAGAAGTGATTGTTTAAGATCCAATAAAATATTTTTCCTATTTAGTTGACTTTAAAAAAAAACAAATAGAAATTTTATCGTGTTTTTGGATAGAAAAGAATAACATTAAAAATGTACCATGCACCATGTGTGTCTTTTAACTGATTTTCACAAAATAGAAAAAGTACAAATTTTTCACATTTTTATTTTAATACTAAATTCACTTTCACTAATACTAATTTTATACAGTGTAATTCTGCACTGCATGCAGTCTTTTCTGTATTGCATGCAGCGTGTTTCTTTACGACCCCTCTCAATATGTTATATTTTAAAACTTGTCTAAAATGGGCTAAAAAAATATACACACTGCCAGCGGCAAACTAATATTTTAGCAAAGAAAAAAAAATGCTAGCAAAAGCTAACGAATCATTAGAGTAGAGGACGGAAATGAAAACATAAAAAACTTGCTTGTCTACCGGCGAAAGCGAAAGAGCGCTGACAAGTAATTATCGGAGTATAATTTGCAAAAACAGATTTCACTTAGTAATCAAGCTCGTTTTGACGTTTTTTATTCCGCCTTCTTCTCCTCCAACAATTCGTTAGCATTTTTGTTTTTTCTTGGTAATTTATTAATTAGGGATTCTTAACTTGCATACTTCTCTGATGAGAATTCCAAAAGTCAGAACATCTGGTAAATGCTACTGAAAAAGCACCGAAGCAGTTATTACATTAAAAACAAACATTTCATTGCAATGTAATAATCCCATTCATGTGTAATCAGTTTACAATTTATCTCATCGGACAATAGATGTATTTATTCGACATGTACGTTTAAAAATTGTAATTGTCTGCGTATTGTCCTCGATGANTCATTAAAAAATGGTGCAAAATATCATCAAATAATTTATGAAATATTTATTGTTAAGAAAATGCACATAAAGTTTGCGAAATAAATATTCTTGCCAAACGATCGCCAAATAGCAACATTGTTCAGGATTGCTCACAACCTTCTCCCAAAAATAGCGAAATAGTATCGTCGCATACCACGTGATGAAGGCGGAGCCAAGTGCCAACTCCTGGTGAACGAGCTATACTTAAACAGAGTGCTTCAATGATTTTAATGTAATTATTACTATAAAAATTACGATTACGGTATATAAGATTTTTTTTCAGTAACGTGTTCCGGTAAAAACAGATGAGTGCTGGTTTTACCTCGCGTAATTTGATCCAGAATTTTTACAGTGTATAATGATTTTTTTTCTACATAATTACAGTATTTAAATAGTGTGCAAACATGTAGTTTTGATGTTTAATGTAGTTTTGATGTTTTTGATGTTTAAGAACAAACATTTTATTGCAATGCAATGTAATAATCCCATTCATGTGTAATCAGTTTACAATTTATCTCATCGGACAATAGATGTATTTATTCGACATGTACGTTTAAAAATTGTAATTGTCTGCGTATTGTCCTCGATGAGATATAATCTACAGGATTAAATTTTAGCCCTGATGGAAGAATTCCAGCAGATAAATCGTATCGCCGTATAATTCGCTGATTGCACGGTGATAGCCGTATAACTCTCTGATTATACGGCGATATAATGTGGTTATGATTAACCATGAATTTCAAAGCCCCTCTCACCTGCTGAATCTACGTTATGTATGAGCTAATCTACGTCCTGTATGAGCCAATGAACTTCGGCAGAGAAACGGCTGAGCAGACACGCCATCATGTTTAAGGGGCATTAACTGGCGAGTTGAGCAAATATGTTTCATTAATAAAGTTCTAGTTCGCATTTTCAAGTTCTAAAGTCTAGTTTTCGCATTCAGCATGAATGGCCTTTTACACTTTTACGACTGACGAAAATCGTTAAATTCGCAATGTTTGTCGTCTTGAAGATAATTTCGACTGATTATTTGCAATGACGTCATGTTTTTTCATAAGGTATCCGCGGATTATTCACAGTAAATTACATTGATGTGTCTAAACCAACATTTCTTTTTTCCTTCAACTTTCCAATCTTATTTACATATGTTTCATACATACAATTCATACTCATGCATTTACAAGTATAAAATTTGATATGGCTTGTAAAAACATCCATTCCCTACTAATTTCTTTTTGAGAGAGAGAGAGAGAGTATATTTATCTCCCGCTCAAAGGTTGAAAAGTACAAAAATTTCGCATATTTTACTAACGTGTCTCCTTTAATGTCTTCTTTAAACATTCGCCATGTTTCATCGGCAAAATATTTTTAATTTCATAATTTATTTTCACTCTTTTTAAAAAAAATTTCTCCTTTATTTTCCATTAATTTATTTTTACATCTTTAACTGTTTCACCTTCCTTGAAATAATTTTCATATTTTTTGCAAATTAGTTTTTCCTTTCAAATTTCACTGGTTTACAGGTTTTACAGATAAAAATTTTTCACATAATTATTAAGATATGAAAAGATATTTAATTAATTGTAATATATACAATTAATTAAGTACTCGGTTTTGTTAATGTTTAAGTTTTGAATTGATACTTGCTTTGTTATTATTTAATTTATTTTGATTAAATTTCTCATTATATTTTTTATTATTATGTTGTTTTTTTTTATATTCTCAATATATTTTTTATTATCATGTTTTTTTTCTATATTTAAAGATGAAACGATAAAAACTTTTTTCTAGGGATCAATTTTTACTAAGTTTTGAAAATTTATTTAATTGTTAAGATTATTAGAACATGATGTTACAATTTGAAGTTTAAATTTTATTGGTAATAAGTAATTAGTTAGCAAAACAAAATCTGGAATATAAAAAAACTAACCCTCTTCCCTGTAAAAACAGTCCCGTAACTGTTTAATTGCTTTTTTTTATTAATGATGGAAGTAAAGTACTTTATTTTTAATAAGTATTTTTTAATGTTGCATACCAATTTCAAATGGCGTAATTTCAGCCTTTACTATTTCTTTTTCACAAAAAGAAAATATTTTAAACTTCCGATATAGAATCACTAAAATTGTAAACGCTTATTTAATCTACTTGGTTAAATGGAACAAACAATGATAACAAAAAACAAAGATAAAAAATCGCTTATTTCACTTCAATTATCTGTCTTAATCAATGTTCAAATCAATTCGAAAACAATATAAATTTATTTTATCATTTTCAGTAAGTTAATATATTGAGTTTTACTCCAAAAAAGTCAAAAGAATATCCCGTTGGAAAAGAATGAGTTCGCTTTTTGATACAAAGGAGGGGGGGGGGAGTAACTTAATAACACGGTTTTACGCTTATCACACGTCAGTCTCCTGTCAGTTATTGCACAATGTTACGACCAGAGTCATTGCACAATGTTTCAGCAAAGAGAATTACTAAACAATAACCAGAATAAAAAAAACATTTTTATGCCGTACATAACAGAATGCTCGTTATATTCTGGTGTTCTTTTTTAAATCTAACTGTGGCAAAGTACTAGCAATTTTCGAGTAAAATGAGGAATAATAGTGATTATCAAGATTTAGACACAAGTGAATTTCGGACTGAGAAAGAAACAAGACTTTTGAAAAAAGGATACTCAAACACAGCTTTTAATTTTACGGAGAAGTTAGAAGAGGGCGCTGCAAACAGGTATGTATCTATATCATAATAAAACTTAGTATTAAAATATTGTTTTTTTCCAAAGGTTAAGTGGTTGTAAAGTTAACCTTTTTTAAAAATAAAGAGTAATACATTTAAGATTAAAAGGTGTTCTTAGGTGTTTAAAGGTATTTAAAGTTAAAAAGGTATCAAACATTTAAAAAATATAATTTTCAATTTAAAAATTTTACGAATTTAAAAAAAAATGCATCAGTTTGAAAAAAAAATTTGTAAAAAAAATTTATTAATATTTTAATAAAATAAAATGTAATTCAAATAAAAATAATTAAATAAAATAAAAATAATTAAATAAAAATTATTAAATTAAAATAAAAATAATTTAGTTAAAATAAAAATAATTTAATTAAATAAAAACAAACTAAAATTTTTAATACTAAGTTCTAATGAGCCACAATGCATTTTTCTATCAAAATTTCATTAAATTCAAGTCTCAGTGTATATATGAAGTCACGCATTAAAGCATAACGAAAGAAGTTTGGAAATTTTTTTTGCATTTCGGAAAAATAGGATGAGCTTGAAATAGTTCAGTATAAAAAATAGGACTTTTAAAAATCGAATTTTAATCGAAGTGTTAGAATGTAGCATGCTGTTTAGGGTTAAGTTATGATTAAATTGCTTATAAATAATGTTGTCGAGAAGCATTTAAAAAAATAATAATTTCATTTATTTTTTAAAAAAGATAAAAGAAAAGACAATTAATTTCATTTGATTTCTCTTATGAAACAACTTACATGAGCAGTAAGTATTAATTTAATGAATATGCAGCAGTTTGAAATACAAAAATACTACATACGAAAAAACTTGATAAACTGTTTTGTATTCTACCAACTTTAGAAATATTCATTGCTGATTTACATTATAATACGTTAGAATATGACGTATGTCCCGAGTATAAGATGACTTTTAAAACACACAAAATTTTATGAAAATCTGGTGTGAATTTATTTACCGGTATTAAAGTTCGACATTCATTGATTGTAAAATATCGATGCATTATAAACAATGAGATACATATGAATAACTCTGTATCAATTTAGTTCTTAAAAAAACTATTTTAACATGTTATAAACAATTAAGTTTACATTTTATCTCCTCATATGTTTTTGCATATAATTGTTTTTTGAATAAAACAATACATTAAATTACATTCAGAATTATTAATGAGAAAAATTAAGATAATTTATTCAAAAGTGTTTCAAAAAATATAACATAAATATTTATTTTTATTAACGTACCATAAAGCTACAAATTTAAAGATTCCAGAACATCATCTGTGGAGTAAAGTCTGAACTCTTTCCTAAAAAAGATCAGCTCTAAAAAATAGTTAATATTTCAACGTAATATGTTTTTTTATTTCTTTTTCGTTATGAAGGTTTAAATTTTATCTCTATATTAAAAAAGCGTAAAAGCTGCTGAAGCTGTTTTGGGTGTGTTCAACTTAATGTTACATTTTGCTTTGCTACGCAAATACTATAAGACTCAAAAACTTGAACTTTCTAAGGCGTCTAGAAAAATGTGCAGGAATTAGATGACATAAAAAATAACATTCACGAATTAGTTCTAGAATTATAAACTGTTAAACTTGTTGTAAGAAAAATACCATATGGGTAGTATGAATGTAACCACAAGTTTGAAATTCGACATGCCGAAAAGGCCATATATGTTAATGAACTTAACGCAGAGATTTTCCAATATTCTAATATTTTTTTTTTAAAGTTATTGCAACTTATTTATTTATTTGCGATTTTTTTCTCAACTATTTTTACTTTACGTTACATATTAATTTATTGCGCAAAACTATTAAATTACGAGAAATTACAAAGATGTGAACATAAAAGTACAAACAGTTCGATGGAATAAAAGAATTATGATTTGAATATTAATTTGAGAACTATTAACTGTGAAAATTGTTCTAAAAAAGAATCATGTTGGTCCACCTACTGACTGTTGAAATACAAGTACAAAATTGAAATTTTATATGCTGATAGAACTATTTTAAATTACGAAATCGTCGTATTTTTTCAAAACTATAATTTGTGTGAAAGTTATTGAAATTTTAAGTTTTTTCGAGTTTTTTCCCAACCGTTTTGTTTTAAATATTGTCTAATTTATCCATTGTTGTGGAAAACTTGTTTTTCCCTAACAAGATCTCTATTTCTTTATTTTTTAACTCGTGCTCTAGTAGATAAGAATCAAAAATAGCAAAAAAAGAGAGGAAATGATCACATATTGTCAGATAAAAATCTTAATATTTATATTGACCTTCTTAAAAATAAAAAAGAACTTAATAAATAGCTATAAAAATCATTCCCTATTTATATTGTCGCATCAACGAGTAAAATTATTTCCCGTTCATTTGTTCCTATTGAATCACATAATCTGTACTCCTTAGGTTAATTTTTTTTTAAGTGCAGATGGTCACTATTTTAAATCTAAGTAGGAAGGTATTCCATTTACATTGCACTAGAGCTGCCCAATGGGCCATTGGCGACGGTCTGGGAAACGTCTCTGAAGATAATCCGGAGACATGCCATCACAATTTTGATCTTTTGCAGAAAAGATGGCTCCCTTACTTCGGTAGCCCGACGACCTGCGAGCGAAGTCGAGCACTTCACGGTGAAACAGTTAAGAGAGGACCGATACCGTACACCCTCGGATCCTCTGCTGGTTGATCAAAGTGATCACCCACCCGCACACTGACCGCAGCCAGTGATGTTTGACTTCGGTGTTCAACTGGGAATCGTGTCTTAACGATCAGTCCATCCAACACCTCCTAGAAAGAACAGGCCTCAGCACGGGTTACCATAAATATCCCTTAGTAGTCCAAACGTAATGACATATTTTGTATTTTCAACCACTGCGCAGCTTAGTACCCCTAACGTAATGACATCTTTCTTATTTTTCGTCTACTGCGCAGTGAACTTCGTCACATCGGACTACTAAATTGATCCGTGCTGAGGCCTTTCTACTTCTAGGAGGTATTGGTCCATCGCGGAACTTAAATCTAAGTAATTGCCTATTCCATAACGCTTAGCATATTAACAAAATATTTTTACACTTGCATAAAACTAGAATAATTGCAGATTTATGAAACAAAATGTTCAGTATTTTTGTGAAAAATTTTGACGCTTAAGGAAAAAAAGTGCTGAAGGAACAGAAATTACAGGAGTTAGTGATAGCGAAGCAAGCAGGGATGGGGCCCCTTAGTGTACTAAAAAATTAGATCTCTTCAGAGCTCTCTTATTGGAGTCCAGGCTTATATAGTTTCCATTTAAAAGTTCCAGGTTCATTTTTGCGATATTTATAATCAATGATACAAACAAGCTGTGTTTCGTGAGAATTAAATTTAATTTTTAAATTTGGTTATATTGTTCTTTGTGATATTGCTACATCATACCTGAGTCAATATTCTACTCCTCAATTGTTTTTTTCAGTTTTTGTTCGTTTAACCACAATAGCCTTCTAATCTTAAAGTTGATCAATTGATTTTTTTATATCGATTCTTTCCACTTTAACTGTAACCGAGGAGGGCTTTGCTCCCTTTCCGCGTGCCTTCTTGGCGTCAGTTGAGGAAACTACTGTGTGAGAGTAACGTTGCTCTCGTTTTCATCTTCCTTTTTTATAAAAAAAAAAAGGGAACTACAACATGAATAACATTTACTCAACGATGAATCTTAACTTTATTTGAAACTTAAAGTTGTCAGATAGAAATGCTACGTGATAGAGGTGAACATATGTGCGCCATCACCAATAGTTGGCGCTTTGCCAGAAAGATGAAGAGGTAAAACTGTAAGCATATGAAAATATTCCGAAGTCTTTAAGTGAGCCTCAGATTTTCAGGCTGGAAAGGAACTATTTTAATTCTCCCAAATCATGATCCGGAACCTTTTCATGGTGCAAAATTTAAACATCAACAATCAAAGGAGCCACCTTCAACCCTGAACCCATTAAGATGAGAAGTAAATAAAAGTTTTTTATGTTCCTGAAAAGAACTCTCTTCAATTATTCCTTTCCTACACACAGCATTTGACCAGTTCCTGAACCTGGAGATCCTTCTGGAAGGAAGGATGAGGTAACCCATTTGAACACTGTTTTTTAAGTATATACTATCACATCCATGGTTCATTAACTTATATTATATGCTGCGATAGTTCCTTTCATGTAAGTGCTTCCTCCTATGATGTTTATTACTCCCTTTAATTAAAATTTTAATGATTCATTTTTTTAATTCTAAATTACTTAAATTGTAACAATGCGATATTCTTGATTTATTTTTAGTAAGAAGGAGGAGCTAGAAGATGAATTACCGTCTGTGTCTTTTCTTTCATTAGTAAGTATTTTGCAAGCAATAAAAAGTCACTAGTCGTTAAATTTTGAAAATTTTTTACAATTAAAAAAGAAAACAAACGAAGGGTCATTTTTGAATCTGAATAATTTTTATGTCATTATGTTTAGGATTAAAATTAATAATTGAAATTAAAATTAGGAAAGAATTAAAATAAATTAATTCTGTTCCCCCTGTTTTTAATACTTATGATTTATTTATTACTAGCTGAATGCTCGTTCTCCGATTTGGTTTTTAAAAAAAACATAAACTATCAGTAAACATCACTACGGAATCAAACAAAAAACAGAAAGACATATGCATAAAGACATATAATAATTAAAAATAATATCATTCTTAATCGATATATTTTATTATTTTGTGTTTTTAGGTTATTAAATTAAGCAAAATACGTTTTTAGTACATCATCCTATCAAAATTTAGATTAACTGTATTCATGATGTAGGCATGATGCTGTTTCTCAAGGTAATCACAATCAAGTAATTTTGTCAGAAACATATTCCTTTCGAGGGCCCATAAAAAACCACTTTTCACTGCATCTGTGTAAAAACTATAATGTAGTTTTAGTGGTTTAATAACCAAATATACGGTTTTAATAGTTAGATATGCAAACTATACCTACATTTGTATATTTTTTGTATTAATTACCCTTATGCTGCACCAATTACCATAATACAAAAATGTCTATTACCAAAATAAAAGAAGAAAAACTGACGTCTACAATATTAAGGTGATATTTCAAGGTTTCTGTTAAATGAATTAGTATCATTTCTTCATTGATATCGCTTTTTAGTACATATCTTATTTTTAAATTCAATTAGAACCTGTTATTAAAATAAATTAAGCATTATTGGCATTAATGATAGAACGGCGAATTTACGCTTTTTCTTAATAACTGCAGAGGTCAAGATCAGAAGCAAATTCGGTGGATAAGATTTTAAATACCATTTATTTTGAAGGTAAATATTTACACAATATATAGAATTTCTAAGCTTAAATAGCTCAGCAAAAACAATTATCAATTAGATTATTAGCATGAGTCGAATCATTTAGATAATATGGCTATAGTATTTTTACCTAAATGAGTTAGTTCTGTTTCTCCATCATTTGTCTTCAGTACATAGCTTATTTTTTATTTCAAATACCGTTTATTTTAAATTATTTAGTTCTATAAACTCGTGATTAAAAAATAAATAAACTTGTGACTCAGGAATGCTAATTTGGAGATGTAGTTCCCTTAAAGTACCACGCTCACGTTAACTATTGAGCTTAGCCGAAGTAACGAATAAAAATTAACTAAATATTAAAGAACGTGTACATTATAAAAACTGTGGTGTAATAGCTCTTCGAATTCAGAATTGAACTATCTAAAATTGTGTAAAGGAATACTTTATTTTAAGTTTACTCCAAATTAAACGTTTGCACACACTTTAAAGAGAGAGGTTAATGTATTAAATCCAACGATGGGGAAATTCATGGATTCTAAAGGACTAATAGATACATTAATAGATAGGATTTTGAATTGAGACATTGGACATTTTAATAAACTTGGTGTTTTCCACAGTTTCTTTCTGCATTGACGGATTGATGTACGGTAAACAATAAAAAATATATAAAAGAAATTTTAAAAAAAGGATCACCCTGAATAACTTTTGATTTAATTATCGGACTCAATTTTAATAGCTTGAGGGGGTTATCTCAAACATGCTAATTAGTGAGTGTAAGCGATATTTTAAATTACTAAATCGGACACAGAAACGCACTTTCTCTAAATAAACACACCTTTTTTCTCTACGGTTCCACAAAATATAAGCGGTAGCTACAATCTAGGACAGGGATGGCGAACCAATGGCACTCGTGCTATTTATGGCACGCGACATAATATTTTGGGCACGCCACCGATTGGCACGATCACAATTGTTATTACACTATGAAGCATATGTAGCAATTAACATAAAATTCACAAAAACAAACAAAATAATAAACAATTATTAATAAAAAAATTAACAATTAATGCTAAAACACAATTAATAACCATAAAAAGCAATCTAACTATAAATAACCAGCAAAAAAATATTAATAGTCCTGCTTAAACTAACATCTTACAACCTGGTATCTAATCTGCAACAACAGAAGTCGCACTGATGTTACTTTGAGTTGAATTACGCGTATAATTGAGACATAGCAAAATGTATTTTTTTAAAAATGTAAATAAAGAGTTTTGAGTCGACAGTATTTAGTATTATTATTTTCCCAATAATCACGAAGTCAAAATTATTTGACGGCACGTCTATGACCTCATTAAACAATTTTTTAGAAAAAATGGCACGTTGGTGTATAAAGGTTTGCCACCCTTGATCTAGGAGATTTGGTCCCGAAAGTTTTGTCAGGAGGGCTCTCCAAAATTTGAACCCCTTAATGTTGATTTTACTCTTTGCGTATTTCGCTATATCTCGAAAACATTTTAAGCGATTTAAAAAGAATTTTCGCACAATTATAAAATTCGTTTATCCAAAGGTAATTCTATGGAAAAAAAAACTTTAGTAAATATTCATTATTTTTTAATAATTTAACTAAAAATCGTCGAAAAAAATTTTGAATTTTAAGGTACACAAAAAATTGTGTCGAATAGTTCATGGGAAATCAAATTTTAAGTAACTGACTGCTCAGAAATTCGATAAAAAAACTATACTTAGCTTATTTTACCACGAAAATATTTTTTAAATTAAATTAAATTTTTTTTTTTTTTTTTTTTTTTGGCTTTTTAGTCCCATATAATCCTTTAAAAGTGTCTGTATATGCTAGATTGTCTGCACTAAAGCAACTATTATTTCCAGTTTAGGTATTCCTCTGCCTGTGATAAACTGTTGTTATTTATTGGCGCTATTGCAGCCATCATTTCTGGTTGTACAATGCCAGGAATGACAATAGTTTTGGGAAGTGTTATCCAAGAAATGATTGATTACGATAAGTCTATTAATAACATTTCAAATAAAAATGTGTAAGTATAAGCTGTTTAGTAAATATATATATATGATTCCATCACAATTTTACATAAAGTTGCAAATGCATATTCTTATAAAGGTTTCCTTCCGGCTCTTATAGAAATAAAAAAAATTTAAAAACAAGTAAAGAAATTATACTGTCTCGGAAATAATGCTTAAATAAAATTTTATTCAATTGCTATTTTACCGTATTCAAACAAAACTGTCAAATAACCGTAAATAAAACGGTATTCAAAGTGTTATCTGTGAGGAAAATCGTTTATTAACTGTTTTTACCGAATACGGTTAAGTAATCAGAATTTTATCGTGCATACCAGGCCCACCTAATAAAGTAGCTTAGTTCCTTGCACCTGAGAATATCTTATAGTCCAGAGGGCTAATCTTTCAATCTTTTGACCGATAGAACGAAAATTCGAATCCCAGAGTTGGCACCACAATTTTTCCTCCATTCACTTCAGCATATTAAGAGTTTCGAGTGTCCGGCACTCTTTAATTTGGGACTCTGGATTATTAGAATATTATATTCTTATTCACATATAGATGGCAGCACCATAAAACAATTAAACACAAAACGTCTAGTATTTCCCATTGCTCATGTTAGATGGCACCACCAGATACACACAATAAATAAGCCACATTCCACCTCTCATTTGGCAACTCAACCGCAATCTAACTCCAATGTTCAGATAAACTTTATATTTATGGTTTCGTTATCAGACTTGTTGTAAATGATTAAAAGAAATGTATAGTTTCATGCTCGTGGTTTCTTTACCATACCAGTTGTAAACAGTTCCAAAACCATAAGGGTAAAAAATGCTCTTTACCGAAAATGTTACGGTTACATGAATGGACAAACTGCTGCCGGTTATTTTACCATAATTTTAGAAGGCAAATTCGAATAGTTTAGTTGAAGAAAGTGCTAAGGAATAATTTAGTGAATTTAAGAACCTTAATTATAGAAAGTATAGCTGTGGCATACTTCTCCATTAAAAAATGCTTTGTTTAAAAACTAGCTAGAAAACTTTTCGCATCTATACTTAATACTTTGAGTTTGATTACATTTTCATAATTCTTGGCACGTTCTTCGATTGACAAGGAAATGATGCCAAATGTAATATAATATCTTATTCCAAACACAATTTCCTTATAAGTGCATTTGGGTAATTTCTTAAAAAAGTTTTGCTTAATTAGTCGGAAATATAACTATTGAAATAAATTTTAATTTTTCAGAACAAGAGAGGATTTTTTAGAAAGTGCTACAATGCTGTGCATCTATTTTGCAGCCATTGGTGGTGTAATGTTAATTTGCAGTTACATATTTGTTTGTTCTTTTAACACAGCAGCAACTAATCAAGCATTTAGAATCCGTTGCTTATTTATGTCCTCGATTCTGAAACAAGACATTGAGTGGTACGACACTCATGAAACTGGTGATTTTGCAAGTCGTATAACTGGGTAAGATAGATAAAATGTTGTTCTTCTTAATTAGATATAAGAGAATATTTCATGGTGTGTAACGGAAATTTCGTCAAATAATCTACTCTTTTAAGGAGAATTTACCTAAATTAGCAGGGAAATTTTCTCACTTAGATGATAGGCAACGGAAAAAAGTGCGATAGAAACTTTTTCTCCGGTCAAACCAGATTTCACTACATGATTTTTACGCAAATAGACTTACTTATACAAAATAATCACCACCCCCCACAAAAAAAAATTTCCTTGCCAGCAGTTCCGGCTATGGTTTAAAAGTTGCTATATTTTAAAAGTGACTTTATCTCAACTGCAACTGTTCTAGTTAGGGCTAAAGAGAATAGCGCAATAAAAATGTATCTATTGTGACAGTTTAAAATTAGGATACTTTTTAATATGTTATTTTAAAAAAAAATAAAAATCACCAATTTAAGTCGATGGTTGAGTATTTATAGCTACTATTTGAAAATTGTGTAAAATGAATAACTATTTTCCTTGTCATTTAAGAATGTGATTAAAACATCAATTTTCAAGTTAAAAAAAAATTGTACTAAAGATCTTAAAGAAAGAGAAACTTTTCAAAAAAAAAATACGATAATAATTCTTTTTCTTCATTAGCAATACTGCCTATTAACAGCCGTTCCAAAATGCCATCTCCGGTTAATTTTTTTGGAGCATCGGACGCGAGGTATCTTCATTGATTGTCGTCCATAATTTAAAGGCTTTTAAATAAATCAAAATTTTATCTTTTTAAATAAAATGTTGATGATCATTAAATGCAACAAGCTTGTTCTTATTAGCTTCAATCGCATTTTAATGAAAACGTCATTTTACGGAACAAAATAAAAACAACATATCTCATGCGATAATAAAAAAATAAAAATTATTGTACACGGATAACTTATATATGCCATATAATTCACCAATATAGATACATATATATATATGTAATATAAAAATTATAAGTACTTTTGTATTAATAAAAGAATTAAAACTCTTTTGTTTTCATAAAATGTCTTTGTTAAAGAGTAAGCGTAGAGATATTCTATTTTGGGAATTCAGGACTGAAGAAAACAGACCATTGAATTATAATTAGATTTATATTTCAAAGGAGGAGTTATTTTTAGAATCTTTGCCTCATTCACTTCCATATTAGGAAGCATTAAATGATTTTCGGTGATGCGTAAGGTTACACAACCTCAATCTGTGCCCTTTTATCTCAATCTGTGTAAGTATATAACGCTGGAACACTAGTTTCTGCGTGTTGTGATCATGTTGTGATCTTTTCATCATGTTGTGATCCTGATAAGCTGTTCCGGAATTGTCAGAATCTCGTCTACCCCCCTCCCTTGTGGCGTGTGGATATGAACTGTTGCAAATACCAGCCTACCTTTAAATAAACCTTTTGATAAAGTATGATGGCTTACGACTGCATTATTCAAGCTGAATACGACACTGATAACAGAGATGTAGCCCTGTTATTGTATGTATATATATATACATACATATATATATACATACATATATACATACATACATACATATAT